TTATCATTGAATCCAAATATATGGTTTGCTGAATTAACATTGCACTCATTTCCCAATGAGCTTACAACATCAGTTACATCTAACAATACATCAGGAGTTTCACCGAATAGTTCATCATAGTAGTGGTTACCATCACAGATAGCATTAGTAAAACAGTTGAACCACATATGAGGTAACTGTGCCCAACATACAGATATATCTAATTTGCTTTGCAAACAATATTCTCCAAATTTTACACTTATGATTGTACATGCATTGCTACCTTGCCGATCAGCTATTGTTGATTGAGAAATATGAGAAGGAAATGAATATGTGCTTTAATACTGCTGAGAATTCTTAACAAATTGAACTTGAATGCTGTCTAAATTGCTTTCTCCATCCAAATGTAGTTGCACATCCCTGTAACGTTTTTCAGAATACTTGTTCTGGGCATGCGCGCGTTGTGATTGGTTGTCTAAAAATAGATTATCGGGACATCTGATGGTGGCGATATTATTGGGGAGATGGACACTTCTGGTTATGTACTTCTGATATTATAGATTTTCACATTTAAATCGCTGCAAATTTCGGATAAACCGATTTGTTTCATTTTAGTTTTAGGAATACCAAAAGGAATACCAAACATGGAACCTAAAATAACATTCCATATACATGCCTAGCCCAAACAGCAGGCTCTCAAGAATTTTGACTGAAGTATATAAACTACAGACACGCCAAACATAGCACCTGAAAATAACTTTTCAGCATCTGTGCTCAGCCCGTGCGGCTCTGACCGTTTTCGACTGACGTTATACAGTCTATAGTCCATATCACAAGCCCGCCATTTTGAATGGTTTTGCAATGTATCATGGGATATATATCCCTTTTTTCATCAAAACAAATCGCTAAAATCGTAAAAACACTAATTAGTTTAGATTTTTCCACATACGAAATATGTTTTTTTCATTTTTGCTTGATTTGCCTAGTAAATTGAAATTCTTGATTAACTGTACATTTTTTGGAGGTTTTTCTTGCTGTATTTCCTTGCATGTTGATATTTGTTTGTTTTTTTTCTCTTCTGAGATTAACTACAATATCAATATTTCCCAATGTTTTTCGAAAACTGCAGTCTACGTTACAGACAACTGGAGCGCTGACATCGTTTTTCACTTGTTTACTCATATATCAATCCCAAAATGCATTGCGTCACAAGGCTTTCTGCGGGTTGCGATATGGACTATGGACAACATAGTACTTGAAATACCTTACGTGCTCACGCCGCGCGGGTCTAGAGAATTATTGGCTGGAGTATATAAACTACAGGTCCGCCAAACATAGCACCTGGCAATATCTCCGTGCTCAGCCCGAGCGGCTCTGAACGTTTTCGACTGCAGTTATAACAGTCTCGCAAAACATGGCACTTCCTACATTCCTCAGTTCCCGTGGAATATTCAAAACCGATTTGGATAGGAGATCTCGATCCTTTTATGTGGTTCTCACTTGCCTTTTGGCAGTAACGGCTTTCCATAGTCTCGTGTAACACACGCGTTAGGTGGAACACCGCTGAGCAAAACATTGCTTGCTCACGGTTTCTGTGCATGATGTCACTGTTTACGGCAATCGGAACAAAAGACCATGTGTTCGTCTTTTTTCAGAAGAATGCGAGTGAAAATCGACTCCTAACGAAGTGAAATCTATTGTATAATGCGAACAATACATAAACAAAATGGCAGCCAAGAGAAAACCTCGAAATTCGCAAAATTCGCTCCAAAATTTAAGTAAAATTGCTGATTTCGCACAGATAATGACATTGATATTTTTAATTCTAATATTAATAATTCATGAGCTATTAGTCCAATGAGCATCGAACTATTGGGTCACATGATGGGCCTTTATATCCCGATAAACTATTGTCTATACAATTAACTGTATATTGCAAACATGAATAATTATCATACTAACATATTCAACATTGTTATTTTATATCATTTGTATAGGATAATTGTTTACCAAAGTAATAGCAATTATCAGCGTACGAGAAAGAAATGAATATAAACACATGAAGTGCTCATGGTTAGCATGCTTGTTTTGTTTCACTGGTTATGAAATGGACCTCTTATTGTATTTTTGTACAACAATGTGTAATTTTCTCTTTGTACTTCAATCAGACATGGTAAAATTTGTACATATAATATAAACCACATGAGAAGTGAATTTCATATTTATTTGAGAGCCAGGCAAATTATTTATCACTTTAAAAAAACTTAAATTGAAAAACCTGACATTTAAAGTTGAAATTATTTTATTTTTCAAAACACTTAATAATATTACCTGTTTTAAGCTTAATACTATTAATGTAATAAATACTTTGCATCATATATTGGTGGAAAAATTATATGCAACATCAAAAGTCATCAATTCTCAAAAGACAATTCTCATTCAGTCACCAAAATAATTCAAGTCATAAGATGCACTCTTATACTTCTTTAACACTGAAGCAAGCTTTAATAGAAAATCTTGTTCTTCCTTTCTTCGCTTTCCTTCCCTTTCCTCTTCTCTTTTCTTTCTCTCCATCTCAGCTTTAAGGAAAGCAGTATCAGCTTCACGCTGGTATTGCATGAAATCCGCCATGACACTATTCATTTGGTTTAACACCATTTCACTGGTCGTCCTTCGCTTCTTCTGTCGGGGCACATATTTCTCTATTATTCATAGAAAGAAAATGTTCACTGTACAATAAGCTTCATCCATTGTGTGCAAAAACAACGAGTTAAAACCATGAAAACCGATGAACATCTAACTACAACTACACCGTTCGCCATTTTGAAGTAGTCACATGTCTTATCATATGACATTGTAAACAATGTAAACAATGACCAGAAAGACTACCAACCTTCAACGTTGAAATTTTCTACTTCTACGAGTTCACCTCCTGTATCTCTTTGCCTATCTCAAGACTCGCATTCCTCGTCATCTTCATTTTCCTCCTCTGCTTCCTCCACATTGTGATTGTGATTGTCATCGTCTTGGTTTTGCTCTGTGGTCTCCTTCGCCGGTGTTTTTGGCTCTTCGTTTCGCAGCGAATCACTGCGCTTCTCGATTACACGCGTCTCACAGAACAATCTGTTTGATTGCAAACTCGTTTTTCGTCAAGTATGTTACCACGACGACACTCAGTCCAGTCTACGGCCGTGAAGTTGTTTTGGCGGAAAAATACCAGCTCGACGAAGATCGAAAAGCATATTCATATTCGATGAGATGGAGGGTAATATTTTTACTGTAAGCCCCATTTGCAATAAACATTTGCTTAGCTTTTGTACTGAGTAAACTTGTCCTGTTTGGTTCCACAGCTCGCCGAATAATTTGAATATCTGCTGCTGTAATAAAGTGAAATTGTGTTTTCCAAATAAAAAATTTGAAATCTGATAAAAACCTGATTGTATAAAATGTACATGTAAGCTTTCTTTTTTTGGACTTCTTCCTTGGTGGGTCACGAACCGACAATGTTTCCTCGTATATCTTGATAACTTTCTTCACAAATGTCGTGCTTACATATAGCCTTTCAGCAATTTCTTTGACCGAAAGGCCTTCTCGTTTTAAAAATATTACCCTCCATCTCATCGAATATGAATATGCTTTTGTCATCTTCGTCGAGCTGGTATTTTTCCGCCAAAACAACTTCACGGCCGTAGACTGGACTGAGTGTCGTCGTGGTAACATACTCGACGAAAAACGAGTTTGCAATCAAACAAAATGTTCTGTGAGACGCGTGTAATCGAGAAGCGCAGTAATAACCAAATTTGGTCTGGTACACGGTTTATCGCTAAAAATTGCATCTAGCCCGTCAAAAAAATGGCGCTTGTACTTTAGCTTTACCGGTCCCAGTTTGCTTGCAGTTATCTTTATGGCGGCGATAGGCGGACACAAGAGTGTGTAACGTGTTTTGCAGCTTTCACCTAGACGGTCTTCAAAGCCACTAGCTCTCAAGTGAAGTGCTCTTTCGTCCCAAATGACCTTTTGTCTGTTACATGACCTCAACCTCTCTTGAATGTTCTCTTCTCCCCAAACTTCTAATAAAACACTAGTTTCATTCTTTTCCCAGGTTCTCCCTCGCTTAGCCTCCATTTTTAAACAACCTTAAAAGCCTCTCTCCCTTGTCGCTCCGCCCCAAATCCCTATGAGAGAGCCTGATACTCAGACTAGGGTCTTTTCCGGCGACCCTATTTCAGATGTATGACCTGGATTGATACACCATAAGCTGATATTAACGCTAACACTAAGCTTAACAACATTRACTTCCTGTTAACAGAAGAAGTTGTGTCGTGTATTTTCCGTGTTTTGTTAAATTCGAGGCTTCTCGTATGTCAATGAATCTGTTCTCTATKAGCGCTTCTGACGTATTTTCTTACGCAAGGAAACAAACAAAATTTTAATGATTGCAACGTCAATAAAATTGAAAAACAAAACGAAAAACAAAACGAAAACACAAAAAAGAAAAAAAAGAAAAAAGCATCACCTTTACGTATTATCATATGGATGGCAATTATTCTTCAATAACCCTTTTCATAGATAAATATAGCAAAGGGAGCTAGCCATGATATGAAATTATTATTCCTTTTTTTTGTTATTCCTTTTTGTTTATCATTAATATTCGATTTTATGCCTGCGCACGCGTCGAGATTAAAGTGTGCTGTCAAATAGTCAGTGTTTTTTGAATAATCTTGGTTCTATAAGTTTATTGATTGGTTTTCGTCGATATATACACTTGAACTGTTTATTGTTATTCATTTTTTTTTCTCCTTTGGTTTCAGAGCACTATAATGCAAATTCAACATTCGAAACAATTGTTGCCATAGTCATTAGGTCCCATCTTGTGCCCACATGAAACAATAAATAYTTTTAAAGAGCAGTTTTATGCATGGAACTATGTGTTTAAAATGGTAATAGCTTTCCACACCTGTCACTTTTAACTATATAACAATACTTCTCTTTTCTATACTTATTCATTTGATTCTCATACAATGGCGTTCAACAGTTCGTCCGCTAACTATTCCAGTGTCATTTCGCATTGTTCAATAGATCGATATGTATCATCTGCAGTAACATCGGCAATAAATGGCGTCTTTTCACCTATCGCTTTGATAACCAATGCCTTGATTGCTATTGTGATATGGAGAGAACCATCGTTACGAAATCCTTCTAACTTTATGTTAGTTGGTCTTGCATCTGTGGATTTTATAACTGGTYTTCTCTTACAGCCGATCTTCATAATGAATCAGATCTCACATTTAACATGTAGCAATTATAAAAGATTGTTTGGTGACATATTGCTGTCCTTTATGATTCTATGCAGTGGAAGYGCATTTGTCATYATCGCTGGCGTGAGTTTAGARATGGYGCTGGCCTTGGAGTTTCATCTTCGTTATCATTCAGTAGTCACTAACACTCGTATTGCGATATTCTTGATTGCCACATGGATTGCGTGTGGTATTGTAGTCGTTGTGCATGCAATTTTCCCGGAACAGGACACATTCAACTACCCTGCTATTATTTTCATCTCTTTGTGCGTCGTTATCACCATAATTTCGCACATCCGAATTTTTATAACCGTACGGCGTCATAGGCGTCAGATAGACCGAACCAGAACCAGTGTCGACAATAATGAAATGGGTACAAGACTGGAACGAATTGCCGAAGAAACAAGAAGAGCAATGAACTTAGTCACCATCATTGTATTGTATTGTTTCTTTTACTCCCCGCAATTTATCCTTCAAATTTACAAGGTTGTTAATAACATTCAAGGTGGGATTTCTGAAGGTTTCGCTTGGACTGAGACGATCATGTTCCTCAGAGCATCAGTCAATCCTTTAGTATGGTTTTACAAGAGGACCGAGCTGAGGACATMTTTGAAGAGAATGTGGACTTTATTTTGCCACTAACATCATCATTACAATGTCTTCATCAAAGATAACACCGAAAATGCTGGTACAATTATAGATAGTACGTAAAAAAGATTGTGGTAACGCCTCTGTTTGTGGAATATATCTTCGCTGTTATCTTATGCCAGAGTTTGTAATTACAACAACAGTTAATGGCCGTTCTTCACTGGATAGTTTTGTRACCTAAAACAAAAAGCCCCCAGAAAAACTAATGAGGCGTGTAAAATGCTTCTTAGCTCCAWTTAAAACACGCATAGATATGAATTATTTTTATAATTGAAAAATTTGCACAGAAATTTATGTCGAAGGGCATAAGCCATACCACAACCATATATCTTGTGTAATTTAAATATTTAGAGTCCTGTTGKAAATGCTGAATCGGACCAAAAAATCTATATATATTGTGCATAAGGAACAAATGTAGGCATACGAAACTCCCCCTCCCTCCTCAGTTAACATTTCCTACTAAAGGCTTGTGTCACGACCGGGCACAGGTTCCCGTACTTTACCTCCCTCGTCATTTTGATCCTAAAGAATAATGCTAAAGAATTTGAAGAACTTGTAAACTTTTATTCAGTACACAGAGATGAACTAACTAAACGTCTCTTAAAAAGAATAAGAGTTAAAGTACGCTTTGTATTTTGTCACTGTGTGGATCTGCATAAAGCCGGGAAAGAAGTTATGACTTAMATCTTGSTGTCTCTTTGCCATTTTTTCTCTGAAATTTTATTTTGGGGTGCCTCGGAGCAGAGGGCTCGTACGGAAAAACGCTGCAACGCAAGATTAAACAGTAGTTCTTTAGTTCTTTCGCATTGSGTGAAATTATATAAATTGGGATGCATTTGTATTTCATTGTTGCGCTCTAAATTGTACTGCCTGCGAGAATGTTTCTCTATTCAGCCATTTTAGTTGCATGTAACACTCGGTTGTTAGACTACTTACCCTAACCCTGATATTTTATTGAAATTAATAGTTAATAAATTACTTATAGAGTGCACGTCACATAAGCATGAAACAATTCTTAATATGTATTGCTAAATAAGATTTAGTTATCAACTARCTAAGAATTCAACAAAGCATAAACACAATGCCAATTATTTAAATTCCTTTGTAGCATTGTTCTCAAATCTTAGTTAGTTGATAACTAAATCTTATTTAGCAATACATATTAAGAATTGTTTCATGCTTATGTGACTTGCACTCTAGAAGTGTCAGTAATTTACAATTGAAAGTCAGATACCAGTAGTATTAAATTAAAAGGAAAAGTTTTGAATTACCAACAAGTTCTTATGACTAGGAATCATTTCATTATAGACTTAAAATCAATTTAAAATCATAGAATAATTAGGAAATGTCCAAGCACCACTGTCATTTTAGTGTTATGAACGATCATTGTTTTTTTAAGCTTATGACGCAATATAGATTTAGTCATGTGATCGACATATAGATAGAGCCATGCAACGTCGCCCTGAGCGGGGAATTCCCCTCAGYACGAATCCATTCGATAATTGGTTATTGCTCATAGTTAATTTAAGATTATTATTTGGGTTTCGTTTAATTTTGTAAAACGTATATATAGTTTATTGTTAGCAGTTCTAGGCTTTTAGCTCTGTACTGTCAGAAAGGTCTATACACCCTTTTAATAAGTCCCAAGGTATTGTGTTCTCCGCACTTGACGTCAAATTTATTCTTTTGAATTCCTTTTGTATTGTCAAAATTTCAAAAGAATAAATTTGACGTCAAGTGCGGAAAAATCAATACCTGGGGACTTATTAAAAGGGTGTATAGTTCAGTATTTGTACGAGGTGCGTGGTCAGTTCAAKAAAGACCTTGGTTTCCTAATGTTTTGTGCTCAAAATATGAAAAGACGTGATATGAAATAATTAGACGTAATTGGTTGACATTTTACCATGGATACAATGTCCACTTAATATACTTTATATGGATACTATTTAGTCAGTGCTATTTCGCGTTTCAGCCAAGAAAGTGGTAGTTAGCCATATTCCAACAAGAAAAGCTCGGCCACATATTAAATATCTTGCTCTATTGTCTCAAATCTATTATGGTTGCATTTCTAAAAATTGATGAAACAAAAATCATCTAAGGTCGTGTTTGTTCAATATTTACAATGTATAGCTTTGATAAACTGTCATACTTTGAGCTCACATAGGTTCTGTTTTCTGTATATCAATCCCAGAATCCATTTCAGACATTCGGTCAAACTTCACCTGAGTAGGATTAGTGAAGGAAAGACTGTTGGTTGGCGCCGTGGAATTATGGGACATCGATGACGTGTTGGTCTTTATTGACTGAYTGTTGGAGCTACGAAKCATCTCCATGACCCTGTTCTTTGCGGACAGTTGTCCCCAGGCATCGCGGAAATCTTTCTTTAAGAGACCGTGCAGAACGAAGATCAAGAAGCCCTGAAAGGAACATGTTATTGTGAACAGACACTGTAAAACCATATTTGGAGCGGCAGCGGCCATGCCAGCAAATAACCAGTTGAGACCCAGTAAAGTAAAAACMGAAATAGTGGCGCGGAATTGGGACAGTTTGGAATGTTTCTCGTGGGCTTGCGGCATTTTGAAGATCTCTCTCATGACAATAACAAATATTATCATGTTTGCAAYGACAAGTAAAAGGACTGGGGCGAGAAGTGCACCGTAAAAGGCATGAACATGCAGCCAACACCTAAAGAAAAGAACATTTGAACATTTGTCAGGATTGAATAAAGAYATCTGATAAGCATGTATGTATGTAATAAAAAGGCATTGCTGTTGAATAGGAGACTCTTTTTAGCTCTCCGTTTAGTAATACAACAAGTTGAATAGTGACGAGAGCCTAAAAGAAGCCTTCTTCTCAACATATTCAGTCTGCAGTCTTGGATTAAATTTAAAAAGATCAGAATTTAAACTCACCAAATTTAATACTTTTGGACATTTGCATTTTGATATTCATGTTTGTTAGTTACTGCGATGTTCGTTTTAGCTGATATTTTGTTTAGTTTGGAGATCAAAGCGTGTATTTTAAATTTGTAAAGGCCCAGTATCACCCTTGATAATTCGCGAACGTTTGTTTTCTTTTGAARAGAAGTTGTTTCTTTAAGCGTAAGGCTCGTTTTGAGTTGTTTCTTGCTTCATTGAAGTTTATACAGACAATCCTTAAAAGGTTTTCCACGTAATAAGACATTTCCAATTTTCGAATTGCAATATTTCTTATGAAAATATTCACTTTCAGCTCGTGTAAAATGGTCTAGAATGTCAGGAGTGCTTTTTTTTAATGCCAAGGCTTTTAAAACTCTACATGAACATTAGAAAATGTTCCAAGAGAAGAAAATAAATATATGTCAAGAAACGTTACAACTGAAACATTGGACACGTCTTCAAGTTTCGGCTTTTAGGGCAATCAGCTTTTTGATAGTCTGAAGTAGCCTTCAAGTATAATTTTAACACTAAATTATGACCAGGAGCGGAAACCATCAAAGGTGCTACACTTTACAAGCAATATGATGCCACTAAGCTAGCAGAACACAGTTCTCAGCAAATAAGAATCCGCGTCTCAACGATCTAATGATAGATGGTCAATTTTATGATGTCATCSTAACATCCTGTAATTACTTACAAGGTGTTTTTCGTGTCAGGGACRTGGAAACCATAGCTATACTTGGAAGCGAGGACTGTAGCTCCAACAATGATACCAGGAGGGACTATAATGACACAATTTCAGATTATTACATAATTACAAAACCAAATAACTACATAAGAAGGGTTCGTGCTACTCCTACGTAGAAACCATTGAAAAAAACCCTTGAATTAAAACATCGTTTTCAAGGGCAATGCATGTAAAAACCCTTGAAGTGTGTTGTGATTAGTCTGCCAGAATACAATATAAATTTATTCCTAAGGGTCTTTCTCCCGGAATTGCCTCCTTCTAAGCACCAACTTTCTATATCGTATCTATCATAGTGCCATGTGGTCTTCATATTCATAACTTTACATTATTCTATTACCGCAACCGAACATCTATTTCACCCCTACCTGCTCCCATTGTCCTTGTAGCTCAGCTGGTAGAGCATCGGTGGTACAAATCCGAAGGTCGTGGGTTCGAATCCTAGCGAGGTCGGAAATTCATTTTTTCGAATTTATTCCTAAGGGACTTCTCTCAGAATTGCCTCCTTCTAAGCACTATAACTTTCTATCATTTCTATATCATATGCTAACAAGAACCCTGTCTAGGAAATAATTAATACTTGCTGTTCGTTAAACAGATGTAAACAAAGCAACATTGCTTTCTTTGTATGACGTCATTAGGGAAATGGCAATTTAACACTACTATTTGGTAAACCTTATTGGAAAAAAAACATTGTGGGGTCGCAAAAGATGCAATAGGACCTAATACCGAATGAGATTTTGGCTACTCAGAAATTCCAATCATAATTGCCTAAAATGTTAAATTTTGTTAAATGTTTTCGGGCTTTCCATTTATTGTTCTTATTTCACTGTGACGATCATAATACACTTACATAATTGCTCACATAGCATATCACTAACATAGCAACTGTTTTTCTATGGACAAMAGAAGTTCAACAATTTCTTACCCCAGCCTACAAGACTTGCTCTCACCATAAACTCATTGTGAGAAAGCGTTGACGTGTCAAATACCTAAAAAATTACAAGAGATCTTTATTTTANATTTTATTTTGTTAACATGTGAATCATTTTTGTTTACAGTGCAAAAGAAATATAGCTGTCAGGGATTTTTGAAATTGTACCATTTGATACAATTTGTAATCTTTACAAATGCTGTTCTTAACTTCATCTCATGAGTGTTCTCTATTTCTATTGAAGTGTCGGTTGACGCTTCCGSAGACGTTTGTCGAAAACGCTTTAGTATGTTTACAGTATGACAATATGTTCCATATGACAAGGTGTTTGATTCAAATTTATTAAAGGMCCAGTTTGCACCATTATGCACACTGGAAAAAATCGCGCGCTTTAAAGGTTGTAAATTTGATATAAATATGATGTAAGTGTCCAAAATTCTGTAAATTTAATTGAAATCATTTACATCAAATTTACAGAATTTTGGACACTTACATCATATTTACATCAAATTCACAACCTTTAAAGCGCGCGATTTTTTCTAGTGATGATGCTTTGCGCGCGTCCATTATTATTGTTATGATTTACACCGAAATACTTCTAGTATCCAAATATCACCATAAAACGAATGTCAGATGGTTGAAAACTCTAATATTAGCTTTTAAAGTCCATAGAAAAGTGAGGTGGTCAAAGATTCGAAACGCACAGTACAATTTATAGACTTTCGTTAAACTTAAAATAGGCTCCTTCAGACCCTCGCTGCACCAAAGCATAATGGTGCACACTGGACCTTCGCTAAAAGCGCATTTATGTACTCGAAGTTTTTATTCAAAATTTCTAAAACAAGAAAAAAAAGGGAAAATTCTCCGAAATCGAACGTTTCAGAATTTAAGAAGTGAATTTCAAATGATTTTTAAAGAAAAAACTCTTAAATTTGAAGGTTAGATAAAAGTAGTACTTAAAMCATTCAACTACAAACCTTGACTAGGTCTTGATACAAGTTATAAGCCTCGATACTCGCCCAAGTCATTGATGCCAATATAAAATAGTGTAAAAGTGCTGCAAGTGCTTTGCAAGTCTCGATCATCGATTCATCCTYCAGTTGCCGGATGCCAAATGAATAAAGCAGCAGAGCTCCTAGTAGTGACAAGCACATTTGAAGAAGTATTTGATTGGCTCTTAGTCGACGCATCTTTCTACAAAGATACAGAAAAAGACCTCGGTCATCTGTTGTTGTTTTTTTTACAGCAGAGATTAGGTAAATTTTACAATATTGAATGATGGTCGATCTTAGCCAATATCTGATTAYATGGTGGAAACTAGCAGTAAACTAGTGTGAGTTGCTTCGCTGTTTCTAAAGAAACAGTTGCGTAAAAACAAAAATTTAACACCGTAAAAAAGTAGGTGAAATAACTTACTAAAATTACTTATTTCACCTACTTTTTTACTGTGTTAAACTTTATCTTTTTACACAAAGGATTTTAATTTAACCAGGTACCGTTCAACCGTTAAATCAAAAAAGTAAAAAAAAATATCCAAATAATTAATCGCCCTATTCGCGKTTAAAACCAAGGCGAGGCAAAATTGTATAACATATTTATTCTAGCCTTCAAATATGTGCGGAGTCGTGTCGGTAGGTCATTTGAGGACAAGCAATAAAACAGATCCACATTCTTTTATGGTGAGCTTAAAACCATTATTTTTTTTTTGTTTACTCTCGCTTTTTTTATTGTTGTCCGCTGGTCGATAATTGCGCAGACCTAAAGCGGAAAAACTTAGTCACCTTGAAATGATGATGGTCAGTATTGAGATGGTTAATCCAACGAGCGAGAAACCACATCCAACATACGATATGATGGAGAGGATGTCCCGATCTTGCTCCGACACCACTGTCTGATGAACAATGGTTGAAACGAAGTTGAATTTGTATTTCAATATGTCTTCCAAGCGGAGAATAGTATTCAAGTCCACCTCCTGTACATAAAGAAGGACACATTAGATCTAATGCAAGCGTAAATTGATCTGTGCAATATAATTACTCCGAGAAATTAAACAAACAGGATCAATACGCCTATTTCTCGTTTAAAACGAGCAACCGCTGTTTTAGTTGACTGCAGTCTCTCATGCGCAGAGAAAAAATGTCATTACAAMAGCACTATTTACATTCTCTCTGATTTGAGGTTAAGCCGCCAGAAGGCTCAAACTCTAGGTCTTGTGGGAATACCCGCTTAGCTTCAATCGGAGAAAATTCAAATTTCTAGAGCTATTGTAATGTCAACATTTGTCGYGCTTTCTTTTGATTTCTATGCAAGTGAGTCTCATATACTAAAACAGCATTGAACAGGAAAAGGCTTATTACTCCCTAATTATTGTCGATTAATAACCTAGAAAAGAAAGGAATTTGCATTATTTAGGTCTATCTTTTACTCTCTAAGATTTGCAGATTAAATGCRCCGCGAGCTCTAATACTAAGGACGTTGTTAGATTGTGAATTTGTCAGTAAAATGTTCAAGCAGGTAATCGTACGATTTCGAGTTCAATTTGGAAATGATAAGTAATTTGTTCTTCAAAGAGCATCTGAATTGCACGGSTTAGATACGGAAAGATTTGAACTTTTATTCCTATTTTTTTCCTTTTCCTTTTTTTTCGTCTTAAGTCTCTTTTTGAATTTCGGAACGGCCAATTTACTCATTTCTCCCTCCGCATCATTTGGTCCATACGCTTAGTCAGTTAGCTGTACTTCTGCTAGCATTTTGATAGCATTTCTATCTCAAAATCAGTTGTCTTAGGAAACCCAATTTTGGCTTCAGAAAAATCGAAAATTAACTTCTGAGAAAGTGCGCATCGCTTCTAAACTATGTATGCCTCAACATTTGGGTGGAACGTTGTTGGGAGGATATTCAATATGCAATAGCATTGCGAGTCGCTGCATTACCTTGCGAAAAGTGGACCTATTAAAGTTCTACTTTGTGCAACGTTTCGTTAAACAACGACATTAATAATGCACTGTGTAACTCAATCACTGCACGTATGAAAGTCAAGTTCCTAAGAATTTTCACAGCAGGGAACAGCTTAATACGGTCACTCTGTTAAAACGGCCAAATTTTTATACTCCGACGAATTAAATCCTCATAGTTTTCTTCTCGGTTAAAACGGACACCCCATTAATAAGGCCAATTTTCTATGTCACTTCGGTGGCCAGATTAAAGGGGTTCTACGCCGTTCTTTGTTTCGGGGATTTATTGAAAGTGTCGTAATATCGGGTATCCGCGAAGTGTTCGCAAAAGAGAGTTGCATGAGATATGTAAATATGTCATTCCTCACCTCTATCAAAATTGTATCAACATCCACATGAAGATTCGGAGTAAGCATGTGACTTGGTTTCACCCGCCTAAAGTACTGGATGATTAGACCGTCGAGTAGATCACCTATTTTGACGACGTATTCTAAGCTGCCACTTGGCTTTGTGACATTGAACTCGAGGCCAATCAATGTCATGAAAAAAACACCACTGTCGAATGAAATAATAACATAATTTCACACCATAACATACTAGACTTTAATAATTTCACACCATAACAT